TGCGATGAGATCTTGCTATGTTCTGCAGGCTGGTCGGTCTCAAATTCCTGAGCTCAAGTAATCCTCTTACCTTGGCCTCCCAACATGCTGGGATTACAGGCATGAGGCACCATGCCTGGCCACACCTGGCTATCTTTATTTTATTTTTGTACAGAGTTTCACTATCTTGCCCAGGCTGGTCTGGAACTCCTCGTTTCAAGCAGTCCTTCTGCCTGAGCCTCCCAAAGCGCTGGGATTAAAGATGTGAGTTACTGCCAGTTGATTCTAAATACTTTCTAATTGCCATCTGATCTCCTCCTTGCCTCATGAATTGTTTAGATGTATGTTTCTTAAATTGCAAACAGATGGGAGTTTTGTTTTTTTTTTATGTCTAACTCATTTTCACTCTGATCGGAGTAGGCTGTCCATAGTGACAGTAATCCTTTGACAGTTTGAGACTTGCTTTTGGTTCAATGTCATCAAATTTCACAAATCTACTACGTGTGCTTGAAAAGAATGTGTTTGTGCAGCTGTTTGGTACAGTATTATAAACATGTTCAGTATATCCAGCTCCTGTTCTTTACAAGTTCTAGATCCTGATTTTTTGGGGGTCTGTTTTAACTTTTTTAAAGATTTTATTTTGTTTCACTCTTGTTTATTTCACGCTTGTTGCCCAGGCTGGAGTGTAATGGTGCGATCTCGGCTCACCACAACCTCCGCCTCCCCAGTTCAAGCGATTCTCCTGCCTCGGTCTCTGGAGTAGCTGGGATTACAGGCATGTGCCACCATGCCTGGCTAATTTTGCATTTTTAGTAGAGACAGGGTTTCACCATGTTGCTCAGGCTGCTCTTGAACTTCCAACCTCAGGTGATCCGCCTGCCTCAGCCTCCCAAAGAGCTGGGACTACAGGCATGAGCCACTGTGCATGGCCTGTTTTACCTATTATCAGGAGAGATCTATTAGATTCTCCCACTATTAGGTGGATGTGTTATTTTTCTGTATAATTTGGTCACTTTCGCTTCCTACATTTTAAGGCTAAGTGGTTATGTGTGTACAAGCTTATAAATTTTTTTCTCTTCCTGGTGAATGGAACTTTTAATAACTAGGTGGTGACCCTCTCAATCTCCCAGATATAGGAATGCCCTTTGCCTTAAAGCCTATTTTGTCTGGTATTAATACCGCTGGTGTAGCTTTCTTTTGATTATGTGCTGCATGGAAATCAATTTTCAGCCTTCTAACCTTTATGTATCCTTACGTTTTAGATATGTCTCATAAAAAGAATATGTGTGTGTCGCTGGGTGCAGTAGCTCATGCTTGCAAACAAGCACTTCAGGAGGCCAAGGCAGGTGGATCACGAGGTCAAGAGATTGAGACCATCCTGCCCAACATGGTGAAACCCTGTCTCTACTAAAAATACAAAAATTAGATGGGTGTGGTGGCACGTACCCAGCTACTTGAGAGGCTGAGGCAGGAGAACTGCTTGAACCCGGGAGGTGGAGGTTGCAGTGAACTGAGATTGTGCCACTGTACTCCAGCGTGGCGACAGGGCGAGACTTCGTCTCAAAAAAAAGAGTATGTGTGTGTATAATGCATGTATGTGCCTGTATGTAAATAAATGCAGTTTGACACTCAGTGTCTTTTAACTGGAGGAGCTAGTCCATTGCTGGTTACTGATATTTGGGGATGTCTGCTACCTTATTTTATCTGTTTGTTTCAGATTCTCTCTGTTCATTTTCTTTTTTTTTCCTTTCTTTCCAACTATTTTTTCTCTTTCTCTATTTTCCTCCCCTGAACGAAATTCCTATGAAAGATGCTAATGTATGTTTGGCAACTGTTTTAAAGATGCCTAACTCCCCATAGCCGCAGTTTCTCTTTCACAAAGGCAAAACAATCAAATCTCTTTCTCAACATTCTTATTGGAACTATGTAATTCCACAAAAATAGCATTTTGGGGTAAAGAGCATTGGAAGAATATCTGAGCACAAATTATTTTATATAATTTGTAATATGTGTGTATCTCCTAAGTATTTTGAGATGGACGAGAGAAAAAGAACAATATATGAGTCATTCATGAGGCTGAGAAAAAAAATTGTTATTTTCCCACTTATTAATGAATTGGGATAATGAAAAGCCTAATTTCAGTCACCAGAAGAAAAGCAATATTAAATCTTCTTTACAGAAAACATATTTAGGCAATGGTTTAATAAGTGAAATGTAATAAAACAGATCTAAGAAACTTCTCAGTACCTTTAGAAATATTCCTTAGGCCTGGCAATGGTAGCACAATAAAAGGAACCTACAACTTAGCTTTGTTCTTGCTTGGCCTACATAAAGATCTTCCAATGATCTCTTGACAATGAAGTACAAATTATACACTCCCTCATTTATTAACTTCTCTCAATTTGAACATTTACCTGCCACTTTGTAATATTTCTCCAATTGGATAAAATACAAAATAATTTGTGCTGTGATATTTATTCTTTCAGTGTTTAAATAACCCTCATTATTGAGGAAACGTCATTTATCTTAAAAACTATTCGTGCTAATGTCAGGTTATCAGGGGCAGCCTCAGGAAGCTACGTGTGGATGTCTGTGGACTCACAGAAGAGCAAAGCTACAAGCTGAGGGCTCACAACGTTTTTTAAATTTTTTGTTGATTTATTTAA